CTGTGAGATATATTATTGCAATTCGGGGAAAATATTTTTTTGATAATAATATACCCTTGTGCCAAAAATGAGTTGAATGTGGTCAATACTTCTCTTAGCCCCCATATACATAGTATAAATATTTCCGACTTACAGTTGAATTTATACCACATATATCGACCATGTGCTAGTTTTTTTTATGAAATTGAGAAGTCGTGTTTTTTTAATGTTAAAATAGATAAAATCGGAAGAAAGCTTGTCTTTGCCTCCATATAACTGATATTCTAGATTTTGAAACGTCCGGCTCTATATATTGTACATATATGTTTTTAGTATATTTATATAAATATTAGTGAAATGGCTTGAAAATAATTTCTCAAGTATACCTGAGCAATGTTAAAAATTAATGCAATCAACCCTTCCAGTAAATAAAATACAGTAATGAAACTAAATGAATCTATGACCCTCAAAATAAGTTTATATGATTCCAAATGATGATTGTAATCCATTCACGATTTCGTCGATCAATGAAGTTGAACCTTGTCGCGACATTTTTATACTCTCGCAACCTGTTGCTACAGAGTATAATAGTTGTTTTCACGTAACGGTTGTTTGTATCACCTAAAAGTAATCGAGTTAGATATAGGGTTATGTATATATAAATGATCAGGATGAAGAGACGAGTTTAAATCCGGATGACTGTCTGTCCGTCCGCCCTAGGTTTAATGTACATATCTCCTAAACTGCTAAAGCTATAATAACAAAATTCACTGGAAGCAAATGTTTATAGAACCTCTACCTACAGTGTGAAAATAGTTGAAATCGGGTGGCAACTCCGCCCACTCCCCATATAACGGTACTGTTAAAAACTACTAAAAGCGCGATAAATCAAGCACGAAACACGCCAGAGACATTAAATTTTATCTCTGGGATGGTATAAGATAACTTAATAGGAACCGCGTTCAAAATTAGACAGTGGGCGTGGTACCGCCCACTTTTATGTGAAAACCCATATCTTGGGATCTGCTTAACCGATTTCAACCAAATTCGGTGTATAACGTTCTTTTTATATTTCTATGTCATAGTGCGAAAATGGGCGAAATCGGATTGCAACCACGCCTATTTCCCATATAACACCATTTTCAATTCCATCTGATTCTTTCACTTTCCACTATGCATATCAAGCAACAATGACTATATCGGGGTAAAACTTTGCGTGAATAATACGTTTAGAGTATGCCACCTTGTGACCAAAAGTTGTCTAAATCGAAACCAAACCTCGAAATCGAACCAAAACTGTTCAAGCCCCTAAGTACTAAATATGTGGACCCCAGTGCCTATAGTTGACCTTCTACCGAAAATATCAGTCAGTCCACAAAGAATTCTCAAACGAGTATACCATTTGACTTTGCGAGAGTATAAAATGTTCGGTTACATCCGAACTTAGTCCTTCCTTACTTGTTTCAATATAATATTTTTTATTTTGTTTTCTAGCATCAAAAGGTGTTTATAAGGAATGCATTTTATGTTGTTTCTAAAGAACTGATTAAATATAATTGCAGATAGAAATTCTGATATACTTTGTTGTACAAATACAGTTTTTTAATATGTTCAAACAAAACGGTAATCCCTTTTTACTTTGGTGTTTAATTATAACGCTTTGATTATGGTTTAACTTCTTCTTAAGCCAACTTAACCAAACATTTATTGTAAGGAAGTCTTTTTAGCACTTTTTCATGCGCTGTGAAAATGGGTAACACTCCCCAAATAACGGTTATGTCGAAAACTACTAAAAGTACGATAGCTCACTAAATAAATGTGCCATAAGCATTAAATTTCACAAACAATATGTTAGATCTTTATAGGAGGATGTGTAAAAATTGGAAAATGGGTGTGACACCGCCAACCTTTAGGTGAATATCTTAGGAACTATCGAACTAATTTCAACTAAATTTGGTGTGTGAAACTGTTTCCATTACAGTTACAGCCATTCCTATCACACACTCTGAAAATAAGCTAAATCGTACAACGACTATAAAACTATGCAGTTAAAAGCATTAACTATCCATGCTGTCATTTGAATAACAAATTTACTTTAACGCATCCTTAAACAAGGAGAAAAAATCACGTGTGGATAAATAACAAGAAAAGCGTGGGTTAGTTTGTGTCATATTTTTCGTATATCGAGCATACCATACTTTTCTCACAATAATACAAGTATTTTTCTGTCAATATTTCTGTCAGTTTATATAATGAAATATTTTTCACTTTTTAGTTTGAAGTGCTTTAAAAGCGTGTTTTTTTGTATTTATGGTGTTATTTATTGGTGTTAAAAAAACTTTTAGCGCTACCAATGTAAAATTTTATTGCGACTATATGTACCTGTGTATTACAAAGCGTTATTATTGTTTTCTTTTTCGTCTTTTTAGTTTCGACAATAGTAGTAGAAGTAGCAATAGCAATAGTAACAACAACGGCAATGGCAGTAGCAATAGCATGAGGAGCAGCAGCAGCAACGAACAGGCAACATTAACCAAATCAATGAATTCACCATACGAAAAGCAGAACCAATAATAACAATACCATACAAACTTCAAAATATAAAAAATCAGTATAATACGCAGTAGCAGCTGAGAAATAAAGAATTAAGGTGAGCCAAAGTTTAAAACCAACTGCAACGACGAACAATTAACACCATAGTTGAGTTTACGTGGAAGGAACAAAAGGTTACCAAACTTATTATAAGTTGAAAGAGAACTTCTTTTATAACATAGTTGTTTTCTTTTTTTGCTTCAGTTGAGGTATTTCCCATTCCCGACACGTTTGAACGTTCAAAAGGTTGGCATTAACTAGGCATTAACATCACAAACGTTCGCTCGAATCCAGAAAATAATAATAATAAACAAAATTAATAAAATATAAAAAATCATTAAGATAACACATTCTATTTGTAGCACCGTTGAGGTTCCTGTTCGCTATAAAAATGAGAAGAGTTTTAGGTCCTAAATGGTAAAGTTATTGTGAGTGACTCCAATGAGGGATCGTCGGAGCGCCAGTTACCAGAAAAATTTACTTTTTTTGAACGGCATTATAATAATATATAATTATGAATAATTCAATGATAACTAACCAATATTGCATACATTTATTTTGGATTATATTAAAACATGTTTCGTTCTTCTGGTTCATTTTAACACAAAATTGAAAATGGAAGATTTTTGAATTCTAAACCTAATATTTTTCGTTTGGTTAGATAATGTGATTAGCTGAAATTTTACCTTAACATTTGTTTGTTAACCAAACCAATGTTACGGGAAGTAAACAAAAGCTTCTATGTTAAAATTTCAGTACAATGTTTGACGTTCTTAGCATGTTAAATATTGGAGCCCTCAACTATTTATGTTGCATTTATTTTTAAAATATTTATAGTATAGATATTTTAACAAATACAAAAAAATAATTTTTAATTCTTTTTTATTCATTTTAGTTACTTGATAATTTCAATTAAAAGTTCTCAAGCTTGATTTCAATGCCACAATTTTAGTCTAAAATGATCAAATTTAAGTTACCTATTAGTATTAAGTACTAGAATATATGTCTATACATGATATGCGATTGTTAAGAATTAGTATAACTATTGTAAATTTTAAAAAGTTTACTAATTAATATGAACTATTTATAAACCACAGATAAGCTTTTCAACAAAAAAATATTGATAAAGTAGTAACCATAGCAATAATCAAACAAACAATTTTCAGTAACAGATGGCTAACCAAACAAGTAGCCAATGAAAAGGACACTGTTTACCAAAGAGTAACAGAGAGTTTTCCAAAATTGTTGAAAAATTAGAGCAGCAAATAATATGTAAAATTGGCGCAAAAGCAATGAGAGCGAGTAAGATAATCACACCGACGTGAAGTAAAAGAGGAAAAATTGTCCCTTTTTTCCCGAGGCTAAAACAAAATAACCTATCAGATAACAAATGCATTATTTACTGATAACCTATCCGTAACCAGTCAGCTAACTTTTACCGGTCTTTTAGGGTTAATGTACCCTGTTTAGGGTATATCAATGTAGCTTTAAGGTGAATTTTTCCGATTATTATTCAGCATCCTCCCTATTTAGCGAAGGAAAAAAATAAATATAATATGGTTTCCTTGATTTACACATTTGCATAAAAAAATATTGTGTCACCCAGACGCGGCGCGTCACTACAGACATTCAACTTAATACAGTTACATACATACAAGAGAACAAAGTAGAAAGACACAACATTGCGCGAGTATGAAAACGTAAGGACAGGGTAATTAAAAAGGAACGCGTAAAAATTTTACGACGATGATAAACTTTATTATGCCTTTGTCGCTATAAGGAAATACTTAATGCTTTGCTTAATGGTTTGGTCTTAAAATATTAAATAATCGGAATAGAAGAGAATGATTGTAGAGCCAGTTAGATACATCTGTAAGGTCGACATTGGTCATAAGTAATTTGCACAACTGAGAAATTTAGTGCGAAGATTAAAACTAAGGAAAAGATTAAGACTTTGAAAATTGTGTGTACAGCTGGATACTTGTTCTTGTCGTATAAATTTTCATTTGAGGCAAGGCGATTTAGTGCACAAGCCGCTGATTAAATCTTATTTCGTGATTTAGAAAATTTTATTAACAAAACGAATAATTCCAGATAATAATAACTTTTTCTAAACTCACCAGTAAGAATAGTCACTAGAGAAAGAGCGAAAGAAATACATAGATTATATTACCATTACCTTTATTTCTCTTTATACATATAAATACGAGCATATAGCAGCCTGATACACGTTCAATGCTTATTGTGATATTTGGATACACGATCAATGTTTATCGCGCTAGTATTTTTTCATACCAAGGAAAGCGTGTTAGACTTTGAAAAACAATGTTACATTTTGTAAAATAAATAATACATTTTTGACAAACATCGCACGATTTTTTATTATCTTCAATACTTTGACTCGTCATATCATTTACATAAAAAATGTGCTAAAGTTTAAATCGATCGCAGTCAATTAATATATAGAACGTGCAACAGTCGCTAGTTGCCACACAGTGTCCATGCAGTATTCGGCAAAACCATGGATACCTCATAACATTTTTCATTATTTTCACTCTAGAGTTCTACACTTAAAAAATTGCACAAACTATTAGTACATACTGTACGCTAGCAAAAAATAACGATATGTTACTTAGCATCTTCCTTTACAGAATGAAGACTTTTTTATAATCATTTGTGAAGAAGTATTGTCAAATGCCGCCATTTTTGAAAAACAATAATTTGGAGTGATGAGAGCAGATTTGAATTCAGATATACGAAGGGTAGAGAAAAAGTTCAAGTGAAAATGTTTTAGTTTGTTAGAGAATTCTACGTACAGATGCTAAGTACAAGTTTAGAGCCCGCCGCTTATCGATGATAAGCTCCACCAATCTTCTTGCCCTTCCAATAAACGAGAGTTTATTTGAACTTCAGAACAGACAGACAGCATGCCAACGCTAAAGGTTGCAACACTAAATATGGAAGCTCCATATATTATAATTTTACCTTCTAAGTAAAGCTCAGATATTTAGTGTTGCATATATTTATATACTTTTGTCGTTGCTAAATATTTCACTTGTTTCTATGATCGCGCATTTTTAAACTAATACACCAAATGTACATTTTTAAATTTCTTTATTGAAATATACTCATAAACAGAATAGAAAAATAAATCTCTTCTAAAATATATAATCATTTGGTCTTTACATTCGTAGGGTATACATAGTTTTGTTGGATACTGTATGTGTACGTTCCTTATTTTATTTTTTGTTTCATGTTTTAAGAATGCTGTTATGTATTCAAGTATATAGAAGGAGAGGTAAAAAACTTGTTTTAATATAAAATTGTAGTGTAATATCTTAGGATCGGTAAAAATATAATTGACTGCAACGAAATTGTCAACGTTACCAAATTCTGGTATTTTTGTGGTTTACATAGTGAGATAATTGTAAAACTTGATCAAGTGAAATAATGACGATTAGTTTATCTTACACAACGTTGTAGTTATTCCGCTTTCCATTTTTTGGTTATAATCCAATTCAATTAAAAAAGAATCATAGTGGGTGAGTGAGACAAAGTTTACACAGTTAAATTTCTCGCATGTCGTCTTTGCTCCCATACTTGTGCCTATATATGTAGTTCTACTGACAATTGTTTCAACTGTGAAAACATAAACAGGAATCGTACGACAATGTAAGACTTCTTAAGTGTAAATAATTTTATTTTCAATCCGCCGTGGCTTCCGCCACGCGCAGTTATAAATACACACATGGATTTGTTTAACCAAATATCGCTTACTTTCTCAAACGGTGGTTTTTTTTTACCTCAATTCAGCAGCTACATTGCGCTACGACAGGATGAAAATTGAAAAAAAAAACACAATTGTTTACTTTAACTGGTTTCGATTTTCATTTTGGTGCAGTCCAATAGTTTTTGTGAAGCATATTTTGCTTTACCTACAGTGATTTATCAAATAAATAAAAATAACAGCATTCACACATATACACACTTATGTACCAGTAATACGGCATGTAACTGTTGCGCGGACTCAATATTTCAACTAAAAGCAATTATTCCTGCGGAACTTCGAAAATTGCCTGATATATGAGGCATTATTTTGTAGCGTTATTTATTGGGTTTTACACGTTTTGCCCTACGGCTTACGTGAATTTATACTTACATTATATATGCAGACGTATATATATACCATATATATATATGGTATACATAATAGTATAAACTTATAACAAATTTGTAGATAGTTTTTCTCTAGCAGCTCTAGTTTTCGATATACATATGAACATATTACATTTTTAGCCAAAAATACTACAATTTTAGAATTAATAAATATATTGCTCTTACTTAACATGAAAAAAAACTTTTTTGTTTTGAATGTTCCAGCAGTTATCTGCCATTATATTTGTATTCCAACGATTCCAACTATTCTGACGAAGGCGTTCTCCATTTTCTTTGCTTAAGTCGGCTAAGTTTTTTGGGTAGCAGTCTAAATGGCTAAAGAGGAAGTGCATCTCATGTTATATTTTACTCTCGGGAAGTGCAGCATGAGCTGCTCAATGTGTTGAATGTATGTAGTCAGCAGACTTTGTATTTCCTAAGAAATTTTGCACAACCCAATTAATTCAATCTATGCATCTTTTTAAAACATTTTCCATCCTTGTTTAGAGCTCTTACAAACTATTTTATCAGACCTAATATGACCCTTTATATGAAGAGTATTGTATAACGCGGTCTCTGGCTACTAGAGGGGCATTCATCACATTCATACTACCCGATACTGAATTCACTCTCAAAGGCCACATTTTTTTAGTCCAGTGTACTGTCTTGGTTCGGCTATCCCATGAAACAGCAGTATTTGTATATCCTCCTTGTTGACCCAAAAGAAAATTTACCATTTTAAGATCGACGCATATCAGCCAGCTATGTTTATTGTATTTCCAAAATAGTCCAAACAGGCCTTTTTTTATAAAATCAGACGCATTTAAACGGCATTCTCATACACACATATAGTCACCACAAACAGCACAAAAACTATTCGGATCATTTAAACAAGTTCTTCTTAATGTAGACATAGCGGTTTATTTATGAAATTTAGTAATTTTTTTTCCTAAAAATTAGTTCAAGTAAGCCGAGTAAGGATATTTCAAGAAGTACCTGTATCACTAAAACTAAAGATGGTTGAAGAAGCTGAGGGTATATTTGAAATTAGCGACGTCACATTAGTAGGAAACAGTTTATAAACTTCATAAAAAAAACAAGTTTAATTTTATTTGGCAGTGTAATTTATTGATTGACCAATGATAACATAATATACTAAATATAATATAATACAATGGGAAAGTTGGTAACATACAATAATCATGCTCCCTTCGCATAGAAAGGCATTCCTCAAAACTGCCACAAGGGCAATACTTTGATAATTTTATATGTAATATATGTATATCTGAAATATATACGACTCACTTCGAAGTTCAACGTATACACACCGTTTTCAATTCGACATTTCCTAAGCACCAAAACCTGTCACCAGTCGGTACGGAATAGGGTTGAAATTATTTTATATGATGAGTAGTTTCCTACTCAACCTAGAACTCCATAATGGTCGCAACAGATATTTATATTGATATGTTCCATATAAACGAGTTCACGACACACGGCCACGATGGCCATATAATCAGTAAGCTCAGCGCTATGACAAGAACTGTACATGGTTACAAGGAGATAAAATTTTAATTTTAACTTTTAATTTATGGTGGTCCAAATAACATTACAATTGGTATGAAAAAACCGTACATAGATCTTATTCTCTAATTTGAAGTTAACCTCACAAATATTGAGTATCTATTGTAAATGAAAAAAAGTAATGGCGCTATATTACTGAGGATTCATGGGAACGATATATATCAAACATTCTTAAAAATTGTTGATTAGCTTGTGAGATATGAGATAAGATTGTTGGTATACCTTGCAAAACTTTTATCTCGTTAAAAATTTTGATAAGTGTTCTAGAAGCTGTGGAGAGTCCATTTTTTGGCCAAATAAAAGTTATCAACTTAAAAAAATTTTTTTTGGTCCTTATTGGAGCTTAAAAAAAATCTTAAACGACAACATGCCTTCCTTAAGCGTTACAATAAAGTTTGAGTCAAAAACCGTCACATTCGGTAATTTTTATATAAATGTAAAGAGTTTAAGCCAAAACTAATTTTTTCTTGTCCAAAAAAATGTTTAACTCGAAATTTACTTTAAAACTGATGTTAAAATTGTTTTTGTCCAAAAATTTTCATTTTTATAATCTACAAATTTTACCCTTAGGCTATGCAAAAAACAAAAATTTTTTTTTCGCTCCTAATGTTGTTGATAGTTGATACCAGAAGGCTCATACCTATAATATATGTGCACACAATAAGGTTAAAGATTTCAAAGAAAATTAAATCTCTGTATGTCGACATTAATGTAGCTGAACCTCAAATAATTTAATTATAATTTTTTTTTATATACTACTGTGCTTTTGAGAGGGAAGAGAGAAACTGCTCGATGTTCCAATTTTAATTTATGGATTCGAAAGAGAGATATCTAAACTTTGATCCTTGTGTAAGATGAGTTAACCGGCTGCAATCCGGACCAAAATTTATACAGATAGTGATTACTTTGGTTACTAACACCCACCTTAGTGTATCTACATATGTATATTAATAATAAGGTGATTCATATGCTTACCCTCATCCAATGTGATTTGGTATAAAATGCTTAAAAATGAGTGAATTTTAAATTAAAATATTGATACAATTCTAAACAATATTTTAATTATAAAGTCAAAGTTATAATTTTATATCGAAACAAAAATAATGAATCTTATTGAACTTCTTATAGCATTGCAGTCAGGCTCTTCTGCCGCTTTGACTAAAAAGAAAAACGAAAAGTAGTCGAACTTTGGCATCATTTTATATTATTTCATTACAGGGGGCCATTAATTTTAAGTTGATTAAGTTTACTTGAAGTGAGAACAAACATCTGGTGTATTACACAAATTTTTAGCTTACCGTTCCCTGTAGAAGTATAGATAGTCTTTGAGTTCCTCAAAATTTAGCAAATCAAAATTAAACTGATTAATTTATATACAGCATTTACCATTCAGTTTTCTACCTTCTAGCTTCTTTTATTTACCTTGAGAAAATTGTATAAGTTTGCAAAAGAATTCTCCGAAGATGAAGTGACGCAGCAGTGTGCCGACCAATGTTACAGGCATACATAGCACACCCAGCAGAATATCGGATATAGCGAGATTCAACAGGAAGACATTAGTCACATTGCGCATACGGCGATTTTGTACGAGCGTTGAAATCACGAGCAGATTACCGAAAATGGCAAAAAAGAAGATTACGCAATAGCAGGGTATCAGCCAAATGGGAATCTCTGAGCTAATACGCGGCGCCATCGCATTAGTACCATTGTCACCGAATGCACTCTCATTCCGAAATACGAAGGTGAGAGGCGATGGCGCTTGTAGTAGTATCAAGCTCACGTTTTCGTTGACGTTCATATTCAAATCCTCATTAAACAGTTCGAAGCTAAGTGTGCCGGCAGCTGCCGTTGCAGCAGAGGGTTTTGCACTTGTCACAAATATTGCGGTGGCGTATATGGGTGTTGGTGTTTTACTCTTTGATTTCAGCTCTTACGAGTAGTTTGAGAACTTTTCACTTTCATATTCCCTTCTGGAAATGAACACTCTGAATTATATTGCTGACAAAATGCAAAGCAATGTAATTTTCTCAGCGTCGAGTTTGCTCTAAAGAATTATTTAATTATCGTCGCTAAAATGAGTTTAATGCACTCACATTAAGTCAAGCACATTAGTACAATACACTTAACGTTCCCTTGTACACTTTATATATTTTTATGCTTTATAAATTCATCGTTTTTATGAGTTATTATATGTTTGCGCTCTTATTGGGCATTAAAATTATTTACTGCAAATTTACACTGTTGTTTTAAATCAAACACACTTGTTCACTTAACGAGATGGCTGTGGGGGCGTATAAGTGACCGATGGCGCTGAGGCAAATAACAATCCGTTACCTTTTTCAACTTAGAACAATTTCACGCTGCTTTTACGTAGTAAATTAAGTTACTTGTTTCACTGTTCCACTGTTTCACAAACTTATTTAGCAAGTTTGTATTTATGCTTGTGTAACATATGCTTCTAAGTCATATAAAAACAATATTTCTGAAACCATAACGTTAGCCTTTTATTTAACATTTTATGCAAGAAAAGGTACCGAAGGGCAAAGTTCGGGAGTAACTGAACATTTTATCCTCTTGCAAGTTGCAAGGATTTAACAATCAAATTTGGTTATTATAGACTTATATTATATCTCGTAGACTCACTTAGTTTAATTATTACATTTAGACTCGTGTCCGAAATATTTTAAAATCATCCTATTTAACTCAAATTAGATATATGAATGAATTTAATATATTGGGCATATGAAAAAAGTCAAAAAATCGGCAGTCATTAAATTGTTGATATGAGGTTTAGGACAATTCCAAGACCAATTCGATTTATATTCTACATTAAACCCAATTATTTTTAGGAAACCTAGTTAATTTCATTAAAATGTCATACATACATTTACGGATTAAGGTTGTAGTATTTCCAATATGTACGTTCACTTAACTTTGCTAAGACATCTCAAGATGGAAGTTTGAAATTCATTCATTAGGTATTAGTGGGCTCAATTTTATCCATTTTGGCACAAGGCTACACTATTAATAGAGAGCGACGCTCTCTTAACTTCTTTAAGATATCTCACATATTGACTGGTATAAACTGTATAAAATCAACCGGAACATCGAAAATATTCCTATAAGCTGTGGCTAGGGGAAGTACTGAACCGATGTTATCCATTTTAGGCATCACAATATATTAGTTCCTAAAAAGGTTCTCTCTTATTTTCAATAAGGTACCTCACAAGTTGACCGACATTTTTAGTAAAAAGTCAGTCGTAGGTGTTGAGGTCCACAAATTCGGTGTCTGGGGACTTGAAAAGTTGTAGTCCGATTTCGACTATTTTTTAACATCTTCATCGCACACTTTAAATACACTTTTTATGCCAGGTCTTACTTTGTCATTGACTCTCGATTTATGTACTGTAAAGTCAAAGAATCATTTGAAATTTAAAATTGTGATATATGGGAAGAAGGGGTGGTTGAGCCATTTTCACACTGAGATATAAGGATACAAATTTATTGTTACACACCAAATTTGGTTGAAATTGGTAAAGGTGGTATCGCACCCATTGTCAAATTTTTACATTACAATCCTTGAAACTCTTGAGTACCATTTTACTTGTAAACTTGTAGGCTTCTGAAGTTTTCCCATTTTTAGTAGTTTTCCACGCAACCGTTAGTTGGCGAGTATGATCCGACTTCTCCTATTTTCACTGTATAAGGGGTGTCAAAAGAATTCTACCTCAGCGAGTTTAGTCAATATTGTATGTAGCTCATATGATTTGTGATATGTGTATGCACATTAAAGCTATTAGAGGGCGGGGTCATGCCCACTTTTTGAAAATTTACAGCGTACAGATGCTCCTCACTGCTAGGATACCCTGTACCAAATTACAGTTCTGGGTCCAAATTTGGAATTTATTTGTAGCACTTTGTAAGTTTTCGATATATGATTTTGTGGGCGTGGCAATATCCTGATTCCGCCGATCTGCATCACCAACCTCTCGTGAGTGTGAAGGAACACGTGTCCCAAGTTGCATCACGATATCTAAATTTTTACTCAAGTTATCTCTTGACCGTTCAGACAACTCGTCTCGTCATTCTGATCAATTATATATATATATAGCTTGATATCTATCTCGATTAGTTTTAGGTGATACAAACAACCCTTAACCGTGAACAAAACTAATATAGGTACTATGTAGCACATGAGTTGGTACCAGGTATATCTATAGATTACAGGTCGGGGTGCATACCACAATAATACTTATCTACAGTTGGCGCTATTGTATATAATATAACAGAAGTAAACAACTACAAATGGAAATAGGAAAATACATTAACTTCAGCTGCACCGAAACGTCAAAACATTTCACAGGTGAATTTTTTTTAGCATTGATAATATGACAGCTCTATGCTATAGTGGTCCGATATGACCATCTTCTTCGGGAGAAAAGCACGTGTGTGAAAATTCAGATCTATATCTCAAAAACTGAGGGTTCGCGTATATACAGACAGACGCAGATGTCTAAATCGACTCATGTCATCACGCTGATCATTTATATATTAGGTGTAGCAAAAGGAAATCCATTATTTTTCCAATAGATGGCGTTATTTATCTGTATCGCCAGGCAAAATCGACCCATTTATGAAGCGGTTGTTGACTGCGACAACGTCAAGCGAAAACGGTCGTAGTCGAAACGCGGTGACCCGGCGGAAACGGTGTCCTATACAGGATTGACGGCCAGGAAGGTTTTGCTGTGAGTTTGATAGGATTGGCAGCGAATTACCTACTATGAGCTGCTCCCATACGGCAAAGCTCTTAACTCAGAACTGAACTGTCAATAATTGAATCGTCTGAAGGAAGTAATCGCCCCGAAGTGGCCAGCTTTGGCCAACAGGAGAGGAATTGTGTTCCATCAGGACAAAGGCAGGCCACACACATCGATAGTGACTCGCCAGAAGCTCCGTGAGCTCGGTTGGGTTCTTATACAACCACCTTATAGTCCGGACCTGGCACTAAGTGATTATCATCTGTTCCTGTCAATAGCAAACAATTTTGAAGAATTTGCTTCAAGAGAGGCTTGTGAAAATCGACTGTCTTAATTTTTTGCCAATAGGAACGAAGGCTTCTATGAGAGAGGCATAATGAAATTACCCTTAACATGGCAACAAGTTATCGAACAAAACGGCACATATTTGACCTAAGTCGGGTCATTCTAACTATGGTAAATAATACTTTATGGAGTTCCGACGTTTTCTACGGGGTGTTACAAACTTCGTGGCAAACTTGTTCTTGTTCATGGTATAAAAATACAATATCAGTCAGGAATATATGCAATTGTCCAATTAGCAAAACCACTGAGGAGCGTAGTCAGCCTTTAAAAGCAAAATAGAAGATCAGAAGGATCATTGATGAATCTTTAAATAAATAACACAGGCATAACATTATTTGAAGTAGATATTGATGAAAAGAGCGGTTTTAACTACACTTTTTACAACGTAAGCACTTGGCACTGCACCACACAATACATATCATATACCCAATCTCAAATTTTTCCCACTTTTATCACTGAACAAATTTCTTTAATTTTTTTATTAATTTTTTATTTTTTTAATGTTAGTCTTCTTTAGATATGCACGGGTATGCACAGTTTTTGCTGTTGTGGTATACTTTTGTGTTATTGTAGTTGTTATATAATTTCTATTTAAAAATTGTCCAGTCTCTGAATCGCAACTCTAAAATATTGTATCTTAGTTATTAACTTTTCCACGCGTCTTTAAATTAAATTTATTTTAAACCGAATATATTACTGCCATATTATTTTGGCATTATCTCGCTTGAATTTTAAAAAATGTTATTTCTTGCCTTTAGAAATAACTAACTGTCGACACAGCGTTTAACGTATTTTCATGATTCTTGACATTTTATAAAATCTAATCCGTTAAAATTTTTCGAAAACCTTTAAATTTTCAGTATAGGTTCCGCGATATCTAGTAACAGTTATGCACTACGCAACGCGTTTTGTTGAACTGAAGCGGTCCTTCTGTTATATTGACTATTTAAAAGAGCCTTTGCAGCGTCTGCATACAGATTTTGTGAATGAATCGCAGCGAAATCTTGGCAGAATACCAATGGTTTCTGCGCTTTAGCTGCTGTAAGATGAGCAGCAACAAATAATAGACTGTTAGCAGAAGCCCATAAAATTGCCATCAAACTAAATGAAGGAAAGAGCTATTGTTTTATTGTGAAATGTTGTTGCAATGAGCAAGTATCCTATAAACAATTTGTATTCAAATTTTATTTCGTCTACATTTTGGTGACAATCAGTTTACTATAAGTATGTATGTATATTAGGGCGTCCGTTATTTTCCATGTTGATTCTTTTCAAACGCCCCCTGATGTCTCAGTTTTTATCTTTATCTCCAAAGCAAATAAACCTACAACTTTGAAAACAGAATATTCTGATACAAAATTTTCCGCTTCACAAAAAAGGGTATGCATCAAATGTACTGATATAGTACAGCATGTCGTATGAGCAACACAGAATTGAAAGCTCAGGTAATTTTATATAATGGTCAAGTAAAAAGTTCGTTCGGTCAAAAGATGAAACTTTGTGTACATTTATCCGATTTAAGTCAAATATGCGCCGTTTTGTTCGTAAACTTGACGACTTGTAAACCAACGTGATGCTAACTTAATAATACCCCTCTCGTAGAAGGCTGCGTCCCTATTGGCAAAAAACTCGGAGAGCCAATTTTCACGGGCCTCTCTTGAGGCCAACTTCTCACCATTAAGCGTATTCGCCATGGAGAGGA